AGACTTCTGACTCAACCTCCTAAGGCCACTAGTAATGTGGCCCAGCAAGGTACAACTTTCCATGTTGATAGTCAAAATCATTGAATCCTTGATTCTGGAGCCTCTGACCATATGACAGGTAATCCGAGCTTGTTCTGTTCATACACTCCATACTCTGAACCCTCTCGGGTCAAGATCGCCGATGGCAGTTTTTCCCAGATTGGAGGACACGGAACCATTAAACTTTCTGAGTTGATTAATTTAACATCAGTTCTTTATGTTCCTTCTCTGGCTTGTAATCTCATTTCCATCAGCAAGCTGACTTCTGAGTTGCATTGTTTTGCTAAATTCTTTCCTCATGGTTGTGTTTTTCAGGAATAGGACTCGGAGAGGATGATTGGCAGTGCTAGAGAGGATGGTGGACTTTACTACTTTGAGGAGGATGTGACTCATGAAGCTGTTTTTGTGGAAAAAGATTTTGTTTCCTTTTCATTCATGTAATGATGTTATGCTATGGCATCGTAGGCTAGGCCATCCAAATTTTAAATATCTTTAGAAGTTGTTACCTAACTTATTTATTAATAAAAGTCCTAGTTTGTTTTCTTGTGATATTTGTCAACTTTCCAAGCATACTCGTGTTCATTATCCTTCTAAAGTTCACCATGATTCTTCCCCATTTTCTTTAATTCATAGTGACATATGGGTCCCGCCCGTGTAAAGAATATTTCAGGTGCTCGATGGTTCATTACATTCATTGATGATCACTCCCGAGTTTGTTGGGTATACCTTCTAAAGGACAAGTCAGATGCTGCATCCATTTTTAAAAAATTACATGCCATGGTTCAAACCCAATTCCAAGCTGCTATACAAATTCTGCGTACAGATAATGGCAAAGAGTATTTTAACTCTATTCTTGGAGAATATCTTTCCCAACATGGAATCCTTCACCAAAGCTCGTGTCCTGACACACCCCAACAAAACGGAGTTGCGGAAAGAAAAAACCGACATCTCCTTGAAGTTGCTCGGGCTCTTATGTTCACTATGAGTGTTCCTAAATACCTTTGGAGGGAAGCCGTTCTCACTGCCTCGTATCTGATCAATCGAATGCCATCTCGCATTCTTAAATTTCAGTCTACTCTTTCTAGTTTTTTCCGCACCATCCCTTCCTTCTGAGGCGTCTCCTCCCTACCTCTCAAGTTATTTGGTTGTGTTGTATTTGTCCATATTCCCTCTCTTCAACGGTCTAAGCTTGATCCTAAGTCTCTCTGGTGTGTCTTTGTTGGTTATTCTCCTACTCAACGTGTCTATAAGTGTTATTCTCCCTCTCTTCGTAAGGTCTTTGTTTCTATGGATGTCACTTTTTCTGAGACTCAACCTTTCTTTCCCTTGACTTCTCTTCAGGGGGAGTCTATAGGAGCAGATGAAGATCAGTCATGGGAACCTACTGATGCCACAGTATTACCTCTACTATTGAAAACAAGGGGAGCTACAGAATCCTCACCATCCAGAGCCTCCTCAAAGTGGGGGACAAGTTTATAGCAGACGAAAGCCTCCTTAAAGTGTAAATTACCCAGAGCCTCTACATTGCTAGGATTCTGAACCATGTTCTAGTTCCAGCACCCCAACACTTGAGTGCCATGATAAAAATGATTCACACTTGCCTATTGCTCTCAGAAAAGGTACTCGATCTTGTACTACTCATCCTATTTCTAATCATATTTCATATGAAAAGTTGTCCCCAGGGTTCCGTGCTTTCAATATTATGTTGGATAATACAAAGAAATACAAAATTCTTTAATGATAAACTCCATAAATTATTTATCAAGCAAATTACTTATAGCAATACATAAAGAATTCCCTAGACTTTGCTTTGATATCATAAATGTAATGCCCAAATTTGAAAATCAAATTGTTAACCTACATATGACCATTTGTAAACTATTATCAAATGATCATGTCATATATATATATATATATATATATATATATATATATATATATATATATATATATATATATATATACTATGATGCACGGACACGGACACGGAACACGACACGACACGACGACACGTTAATTCTAAAACATGTCATATTTTGACACGTTGGGACACGTTTATTAAATAAAAATTTTAATATATATAATATAATTTATATTTAATACATATAAGAGTCCATAATAAGTCATACAACCAATCAAATATTTAAATTTCATAACATAAATATATATATAAATAATTTTTCGTACTTTGTTAATTTTTCATGTCAAATTTCATAACAGAAAAAAATTAATTTATAAATTATTTCTTTTATATTTAGTTAACAAAATAAAATAAAAAATAAAAAATGTGTCCGAGCGTTGACCGCATGTTCGAAAAAGTTAACTGCGTGTCGAAAAAACGTGTCGAAACGTGTCCAAGAGTTGACCGCGTGTCCCGAAATGTTGACCGCGTGTCGGAACGTGTCCGTGTTGGACACGTGTCCGACACGCAAATTTTCAGAAAAAGACCGTGTCTGTGCTATATATATATATATATATATATATATATATATATATATATATATATATATGTGGGATAAGTTATTCTACCTACCATTTTTTCTGCCTCCCTTTGCCTACCACTCTTTAATACCGTTAGATTAGAATCTAAAGAAGAGAAAGAAAGATAAATCTTAATTAAGATTTTAATCTAATGATCTTTTAGATTGGTAGGCAAAGGTAGATAGAAAAAATGATAGGTAGAATAACATATATATATATATATATATATATATATATATATATATTGGTAGGTATTGGAAGCTTGATAGGCTTAAACAAGTTAATAAGTCTAGCCGAGACCATTTGATTTTTTAAATTAAGGCTAATAGCTTAGTTCAAACTTAAAATATTTTACATAGGTTAGCCTATTTGTTTATTTGTATCAAAGTCTCATCCAGCTCATTTACACTCACTCTTATCATATCTTGTTAGTTTACCAAACAATCAATAAGATTACAATACAATAACTTGTTCTATCTTATCTCCACTATTGTCTCTGCCAAGCCTAAATGGTATGATGATGAGGATAAAATACAAGACAATATTTAATTCTAGTTGAAACAATGCAAACAGAGATTTTAGTTACTATTTTTCTTTTCCGATCACAACAGCGATTTTCCTTCTATGCTCTCATCTTCACAGCAGCAACGGAAACTTCCCCTACTCAACATTTGTAGTTCCATATCATAAAATATCTTCAAACTTGAATCGCAATTTTAATTATTGTTTGTAATGTAAATATGGAAACTAACTATGGAGTCCCATATTGCAAGAGTAGAAATTCATGAAAGCAATCGATCGAACACGAGGCAAAAATGGGCAATGAGGGAGGGATGAAGTTTCTTCATAGGGTTGACGTTTTTACATATAGAGCAAAAATAGATTGACTATTGCTTCCTCTACAATAATTGTCAAAGAACTTGATCATCTCAAACTAGGGATGTTCAACAACCGATTCAAACCGCGATAACCGAACCGAAAAACCGAAAATCGAAAAATCGAAAACCGAAAAAAAATAATAAAATTTAATTGGATTGGATCGATTTTTGGATGAGTTGATGAAAACCTATTCAATCCAAACCGATGGGTTTTTCCCCAATCAAAGCCCAAGAATTTCTAAACTCAAGACTCATTAATCCATCGACTAAACCCAAGAAAAAATTTAGTCACATCTCACCAACAAAATTTTATCTTTGTAGAGCTTCATATCTCATTGCCCAAAAAAAAATTATATTATAGTTTACTAATGCTTTTGTATTTCAAAAAAAAAAAAAAAAAATTACAAAGCCAATATCTACAAAAGATGTTATTTGCACAATAATCATGAAATAAATTTTAGGATTTTCAGAAAATCGAAAATTGATCCAATCCAAATTAAAAAAAATTGGATTGGATCGGATCGGATTTGAAAAAAAAATTCAAACCGAATGGATGATTATATGATCAAACCGAAGGAATTGGATCGGATGATTATTGCTTCCAAAACGGATCCAATCCAGACCGCGAACACCCCTATCTCACACTATGTTTAACATATTTCATTTTAGAAAGACTAAAATCTGTTACGACAAAAATTACCAATGCTACGAGAGCATCATTCACTCATGTCATATCATCCTGACTTAGCAACAAAAAAGTGTATACAACTTACTTTGATCAGGTGTTCAAACCTTGGACAAGGCAAATTCTTGAAATTTTTTGGGGGTCAGAGGGAAACTGCCTCCACTCAAAGGGGGATTAGTCTCACCCTTCCTCCAGTAACAATGGTTCAATGCACCCTTTGTTCCAATGAGGAGCTTGCCTTAGGGCCGTACTCCAAGAACAAGATAACTGGAGAAAGTTGTGTGTGGATATATCCAGGTTAACTACCAACAAAAAAAAAACGTGTATAAGGCTCGTAGTGCTTTAACTCAACAAGCACTTGATATCAAGTAAATTGCTTCATAATGTATACTAATCATATATATCCAGTGCTTTGGGGAATAATCTTTACATGTGTAACATTTGGTTCAAAACAATGAAGCAGGGTTCAGTCATATTTTTAGAAGCCTAGTTACCATAGAAGACCAGTGAATCATCTTGGGCATTAGCCCTTTGTTAGAGATATATAAAAATCATTCATGTAACTTCAACCACCAGCTTAAGCTTTTGTGTTGAATTGGTTCTTTACATAATATCAGAGCTTCGGTGTACCAGATTCAATCCTTACCGCCCCCACTTTCTCGTGGAATTTCTTAGCACAGGTAGACTGAGCCTGGTGCATCATCCACTCTTCAAGTCCAATGGACTCTTGTGTGAGGAGGTGTGTTAAAGATATATAAAAATCATTAATGTAACCTTACCCACCAGCTTAAATTTTTGGGTTGAATTGATTTTTTACACTCTTCATTCAACCAAAAGAAAAAAAACAGAAGACCAGTGAATCAAAAGTAATAGTAGGTCAAGTAATAATAAAAATAATTAGATAAATGATATGCGACGAATCTTGTTTAGTTATATACCTAGATACACAATATGCCCAACTTTATAATAAAAAAACTTCAGTAATGCAGCTTTCCTATGACAAATAGCTTTTGTATCATTCAGAAATGGAGTGTGTAACTGTATCAAAATCGAATGTAGGTTGATGTACTTTCATGATATACACCATATGTTGAAAGATTAATGGAACAATCCCTCCTATACACGTGCAGGCTTAGTCACTTGACCAGTCTTTCAGCTCCCCTAGAAATTTAGACCGAAGCAGAGATCTATAGTGAGGTCTAAAGCCAGAAAATGTACCATTTACTGATCCAAAAGATTTCAGGCAAAATAGGATTGATGTTCAAGCAACCGCCGCAGTGGAACTGACCCTAGTGTAATTCATCCACTCATTAGAAGCAAAACTTACTGTAGTGGAAACTCCTTCTGGAGAAGATCCAGATTGCGACTATCGCAAGCTTCGAACAAGTCATTCCTGGAAGCACAGCTGAAAAATAGGAGATAGAAAGTTAACTCGCAAGAATATAAAATCAACACCTGATTTGAATTATCACTCCCCGTTCCCCTCAGTCAAATCGTGCTCCGTGCTCTACTTTACTCCGTCAATATATATTCCAAAATCTACCTCAATGAAATTCTCAAATATTGCCATGCATTCTCTGCTTTTGGATTCATTGCAAGTGCTCGAACGTAATAACGAATGGATTCTTCATATAAGCCCTGTAGGAAATGTAAAAGGTATAGCAAATTAGTAGTTTCATAACAGGATAGGATACAACATATAAAATTAAAAGTAAACACCCATTTTGGTTCTCTAAAAGTACCAGTGTCATTAATATGGTCCTAACACATCAAAGTGGCCCTTCAATGTTAAATTTTGATATCAAATGGCCTAATTAGAAGTCAGCATTTGGTATTAAAGAACTGTTTTGATGTATTTATTGTTGGAGGACCAAATCGATAACACTTGTATCTTTGGAGACCAAAATGCGTGTTTTCTCTAAAATTTATATAAAATTAATGTAAAGCCACAGATACTAAATTAAAATACAGACATCAGTGTTTCAAAAGTTAACGTTAGTCATTGTAGATACAGTAAAATAGTATCATTCTTCATCTAATTATTACGATACCCCACCTGTATTTGTACAAAAATACAGAAACTAGAAGTAAAAAGTTAAAGGATGCAGGCTGCGAGTATCCATAGCTATCTGAAGAGTATCAAACAGCAACGTCTTCAACACTGGTATAGCAACCATTTGGAAGTGTTCGTGATTCCTAGTTGAAAACAATTACCAGCTCTATACACCCAACTATGACTGTTAGAATAACTTAGGTGATTTCATGTATATATTGTGTAATCAATTAGAATTATATAAATCAAGATATAATCATTGTAATTAACACAAGACTAATATAACAGAGACCAAGTGCAAACTGTTAGACACACAATTCCATCCAATCTAGTTTGCTCTCTAAACTTCAAGTTAGTATCAAAGAGGGTTTTGAACCATCTCTGCCAACGTAGCCCAAGATCCGCTGTGCCCACTATCCAGCAGCAAATATCCCCACCCCGTTATGCCCATTGCCCTATTAGGAGATATGTCCATATGTACAATTTACATGACTTTGTCCTTTGAACTGTACAACATTGTGTCGAAAGCACTTGTCTGAAGTGCTGATCAGTTAGTTCAGTTAGTTTGTTATTTTTCTGTTATATAACTGCTAGGTTGTTTTAGCTGAGCTGTCATCAGCTCATGGCTTCCTGTGGAAGCTAGCCTCTCTTACAAATACACTTCATGTAATCTCTTTCCCTCAAGTCAATATTCAGAACTCACTATACAGTTTCTTGTGAATCTCTATCTCCCTCTCTTTCCTTTGTTTCCTTTCTCCAATGGTATGAGAGCCCTAATCTAGGGCTTTGATCCACCACACCTCTCTCATGATTTCCGCTGAGAATAAAGATCAACGGGAGTCAATGAAAGAGGATCGACTCAATGATGGAGTCAATAGTGCATGTAGAGACCGGGAGAGACAGGACCAAATGCTCTTGCCGTGGATTCTTTCCATGTTCTCTGAGCTGATCATGACCAAGATTCTTGGAGTCACACATTATTGGCAATCATGGGAGATGTTGTAAATAATAATAATAATTTTATTTATTTATTGTTATATTCTAGAATCTTCTTTGGGCTTAGCCCATTAGGTCATTTAGCCTCTTTAAATAGAGCGCCCTTGTACAGTTGTAAAATATAATTTGTCAATATAATATCATACTTCCTCTTTTCAAGTTGGTATCAGAGCTCTCGATTCTGAAGGCTTTGCTTCCGCGACTGCCGCCGTTAAAGCGGAACACTATTTGTTTGCATCTCGTCGCTACCGGAAAAAATTTTGGGGACTTTTTGGACTGAGAGGACCTTTGTTTGACTCTTTTTTCTACGAACGTATTGTTCATCGCGCACTGTTCACTGGTATTGTTCATCGTCGGACACACTGTTCATCGCCGGTGTCAAAAGTTGTTTGGGTGTGCGTTAGTTTGATTTTGTTGCTATTTTTGACTTTTTTTTGCGTTAGGATCGATTTCGATGGTGATTCGACTATTACACAACCTCCATATGTGAACATTCGGCAAGGGGAGTTAGAGCAGCTTAAGGAAGCTATTGATAATCTGTGTAAGCCATCTGACAGTTCTTTGATCTTGTCTTGTAAGAACATATGTTCTACATCTCTTCTTGCTTCTTGCCTTGATTTTAAAATCTCATGGATTTTGGATTCTGGTGCAACTGATCATATGACTTGTCTTGCTGAGTCTTTTCTTTCTCTTATCATCCTACTTTGGTAGTTATATTATAGCCGTAGTTGATGGATCCCATAAGTCAATTATTGGTTCTGAACCTTCCTTGTTTCTTCAAAATGTTCTTTATGTTCCTCCATAGCAGTTAAAAGCGCCGCTAAAGCGCCGCTACCCGCACCGTTTGCGGGTTGCTGTGGTCGACCGCGAGAAATAACTCTGCACCGCGCCGGAAAGAGATTGCATCTTTAGCGGCCGTAATAGCGGAGGAAATAGCGTCTGTCTCGGCAAAAATCGCGGCTGAAATGGAGTTTTCTCTCTCTTCTGCGTTTTTAAATGGAGCACTCTCTCTCTCTTCTGCGTTATAAACTATAAAGATGGAAACGAGGAAGAAAATCACGTGGCTTGTACAATTCATTTTGAATATGATTTTTATTATAATATTATTTCATTTTGATTGTATGTAAATCACGTGACCTGTTCCCAAGAATTTTTTTTTTATAAAGTGGAGAGCTCTCTCTCTCTTCTGAGTGACTCGGACAGGACACTGAAAAGTAATCTGATACAAAAACCTGAAAAGTAATTTGTCTTCTGTGTGTAAATCACGTAACCTGTTCACTAGACTTCTATTTTATTATATAACCGACATACTTTTTATCCTATCAGAGATATATATAATTATATATCAATATATCCTATCAGCTCTTTGTATACAATCAGATTTATATAATCAGATATATTTTTGTATCCTATCAGAGAGAGATATATTGATTTTATATATATATATATATATATATATATATATTGTTAGAAATAATATAATATTAAATAGTATTGTATTATTTATTATTCTGTTATTCTAGTAGGTTATTTGGGCTTGGCCCATTAGGTCATTTAACCTCTTTAAATAGAGGTTTTTTGTATAGTTCTATACACAATTGAATACAATACATTCATACATTCTAATTTGGTACCAGAGCTCTTTGTTCTGGGAATTTTCGCTTCCGCTAAAACCCTAAGCCCACTGCTTAGGCGTTCTCTCCTTCCTTTAACGTCGTGCGTCCCTCCGGCTTGGTTCTACAGTGTTCACGTGGGTTTTCAACAAAAAAAATATATATGTTTACTGTTTACCGCGTCCATACAGTCCGTACAATTTTCACTGTTCATCGTCCGTACAGATTTCACTGTTCAACGTCCCGTACGGATTTACTGTTCATCATCTGCACGGTTCACTGTTCGGCTCGTCCGTACAGTTTTACTGTTCACGCGTCCGTACAGAAACTGTTCACCGTCCGTGTAAACACTGTTCACGCGTCTGTACAAGTACTGTTCATGCAAAAAAAAAAAATTCGGCCATTCCGAGACAGAACCTTCCTCTCCTCTTTTCAGATCTGGTCATCTCCTTTATTTTATTTTGTGATGGAGGGCTCATGTAATGCGTCCAAAAACACGACTGGCATCATCTCCAGTACTACCCCATCTCCATTCTTTTCTCGGGCCAGTGATTCCAATTGGAACAGTGGACGCAGTCGGGGACGTGGCCGCAGACAGAGGCCTCGTTGCAATTATTGGTAGAATCTTGGGCATTTTGAAGAACGCTGTTATAGGAAGTACCCTCATTTGAAGCCATTGACTGCCAACTTTGTGGTAATAAAGATCCCTTCACTACACTTTCTTATTCTAATAACCTACCCCCTGTCACTCTTGCTGATGGCACTAAGGCTCCTGCTCGTGGAATTGGGGAAGCCAACCCAACTCCCTTTTTAACTTTGAGTTCTGTTTATTATATACCTGGCATTCCTTTTAATTTAATCTCTGTTAGCCAGTTGATTCATTCTCTTTCATGTACTGTTACCTTCCCTAAACAATCCTTTTCTATGCAGGATTCGGGTACGGGGAAGACGATTGGAGCAGGCATTGAGTCACGAGGTCTCTACTATCTGATTGCACCACCTTCTCCAGTAGCCTGTTCTCTCACAGAGTCTCCTGAGCTAATTCATAGCCGTCTGGGTCATCCAAGCCTCTCCAAGCTTCAGCATATGGTTCCCTTTTTATCCAGTCTTAAGTCTTTAAATTGTCATTCTTGTCAGCAAGGAAAGCACACTCGATCCTCCTTTGCTAATAGAGTCGATAAAAGAGCTGATGCTCCTTTTTCTATTGTTCATTCTGATATTTGGGGTCCGAGTCGAACAATGTCTGTTTTGGGTTTTCAGTATTTTGTCACCTTTATTGATGATTTCTCTCGTTGCACTTGGGTTTATTTAATGAAAAATCGTTCTGAATTATTTTCAATTTATCAAAAAAATTGTGCTGAGATAAATACTCAATTTGGTGCTTCTATTCAAATTTTGCGCATTGATAATGCAAAAGAATGTGTCTCTTGAGTTTTCTAATTTTTTAGAGAAACGTGGGACGTTACACCAGACCATTTGTCCACACACTCCACAACAAAATGGAGTGGCCGAACATAAGAATCGACATCTGGTTGAAACTGCTCGTACCCTACTAATTCATATGAATGTTGCACTTCGTTTTTGGGCAGATGCTATAATCACCTCTTGCTTTCTCATCAATCGCATGCCCTCTTCCGTACTCAATAACGAAGTTCCACAGTGTTTTATTTCCAGGAGCACCTTCCTATCCTCTACCTCCACATGTATTTGGATGTACCTGCTTTGTTCATGATCTCACTCCAGGAAAAGATAAATTAACATCCAAAGCCATCAAGTGTATTTTCCTTGGATATACTCGTTTTCAAAAGGGGTATCGTTGCTACTCTCCTGATCTCAAGCGTTATATTGTCTCGGCTGATGTCACTTTCCTTGATCAACAACCTTTTCATTCTATCCCATCTCAGATAACACAAGTTGATCAAGTTCTTCCTGTTCCTTTTCTTGATTTGTCTTTACCAGTTGCAGGAGACTCTATC